TCGACCCGAGCAACTCTCTTTATCTGTGATTTAACAGAAAAACAGGCAATCACAGTAAAAATGCCAGGGCTCATTCTACAGGGCCAGGGCATTGCAGGAGAATGTATGAAGAAGACATTTATTATTTCTATACATGTTTTGGCTGTCAAACTTCCTTGTAGTCCCTTTAAAACTTATACCTCCGTAGGGCCAATGGTCATTTTTATCTCACATAGTGCCCATCTTTGCCTTGGAAGGTGTAAAATAGCATGATACAGGTGCTTTAAGCACTAAAGCGTGACCCAAATATCAATGTAAGAACCAATCCGTGGCCCGATAGCACCTCAGGTGCTGTCCGGTGAGCAGATTTGAGGTAGTGGCTGCAAGCTTAGTCATGCTAACGTTAGCTGTGCTTGTCATCCACTTGGTAGATTTCTATCTTTCATTCAGATTCACATGAAGCAGGGGAACGAGTTCACTGACCTGGACCCAGGTGTTCACCGCAGGGAGGTATTTGGTTGTCAGCAGCTGGTGCAGCTCCATCATTGTGGAAACTACAGGCTCATTGTCGTCAGTCTCCTCAACACGAAGGGCTGAAGGTAGAGAAAGTGTTGACTCAGTAGGGTTTGCTTCAGAAACTACCTGGTCCAACACTACAGTCCTGAGCTGCTCTGCTCCTCTCTACTCCCGTCCTCGTCTCTTTTCTGCTCCCCCTCAGACAGAAAAATGGACACCCCCCACCGCTCAAGTACTATGTGCCTATGGGTCCTTAGGTAAGACACTGAACCCCACATGGGGCCCACCATCACCCTAACTAGGGGGGGATAAAACTAATACCCTTTTACATCAGCGTCAGCACAGCCTGGCCCGGTGCGACACCACCCGACCCCGCACGGCCTGCTTGTGTTTACGCCGCCTCCTCCAAAACACGGAGGTGTGCGAGGATGTGGGCGGGCTCAGTTGAGACAAGCGGGATGTGACGGTTAAAAACAACAGAGGATGTTGAGGTACTTTTATAATTGGTACTCAGACTGTAGCTTTAAAGTACAACAACATGAAGTAAAAAGAGAAAAATGTGTCATGGATGCTGGCCGTTTATGTGGGTTCAGTCAGGCCCCATTCTCTGACATCACTTCACACCGTCAGACCAATCAGAGGCTTCCACTTATATGTAGGTGTGAGAGTGACATCGCTTCAGCTGGCCAATCAGTTCATAGGTCGGTGCAGCAAGGAAAGAACTGCAGGAAAGCAGTGATGAAAAACGCAGTCAGCCAATATAAATGCACCAATTATGGGCTGAACTGACCCGAGCCGATCCGGGCCAGGCCGAGCAGGTCCGAGCGTAAAAGGGCTAAGAGACCACCTATTATCACCTCGGTTCTGAACAGGCTTCAGTGAGCGGACCGGATACCCACCTGGACCAAGACTCACGTTCAGACTGTAGGAGTAAGAGACAAGCCCAGAGTTCCTGATGAATGAACCCTCATCAACAGACTCCTCCTCTTCATCGCTCTCCATCTCACACTCCTTCACCCTTCTGTCCCGATACTCTTTAAACTCTGCATCTTCCCTTTCCTCCCCAGCCATTCCTCTGCCCTCCTTCCTCGTGATGTTCTCTTCATCTCCCTTTTCTCTCTCCTCCTCCTGCACGTGTCCTCCTCTCCTGCTGCGCTGCAGGTCTTTGCTGCAGCAAGGCTCGTCCCCTTCTGACGGACAGTCTGGATCTGGTTTGGAGTCCGAAGAGCTCCTGGCCGAGAGGAAATCTGACGGGCTGAAGTCGGGGAACAGCAGCTTCATGCAGGAATCCATCTCCGTGAGTGCTGCCTCGATGTCCTGAGATGACTCTGAGAGACAAAGTCGTCTTTATCCAGACTGTAACCGTTTTTATGCAAATGCAGCCGTGTGTTCGTGTCATTCTGCTTTAACGGGGGTGTCTGATGAAGTGTAGAGCTAGATAAAGTCATGCAGCAGAAAAATCTCCACCTGCAGATCAGCCTTACCTTCCATCTCTGCGGCTGCTGCCTGGACTCTGGCTCTGTAGATGGTCTCCATCTTCCTGCTCCTCTCCTCCTCTCGCCTCCGCTCTGCTACTGTCCTGGCCTCAGCGTCCTGGAAGTCCACCTGGAGAAAGTTACACCTTATTAACAAAAATGCTGTTCCAACGGTAATGCTGCAGCTCTGATGTCTGGAGGACTTTAGGCTACAGCTCAAATGGCTTTTTCTGTTTCCATGGAAACACGTTAACCTGCTGCAGGAAGAAGCTGGACCCAATCTGGGATTCTATCAAAAAGCCCTACCCATCAACACAGAAAAACTTTATTAGCGTATTTCTTACCTGAAACAGAGTTTAATGAACAACCCCACCAAGGACCAGTCAGAGTGAGAGGAACCTTAATTCACCTTCTTGAGCGTTTTTAACATTGATTTCAGGTTTTTGACATTTCCAGTGAAGGCTAGGTTTAATATTTCTATTTAGAAAGGTCTCATTCGAACCGTTTCTGTCACTCTGACCTTTTTGACCTGTTTGAGGAAATGGTAGCCGAGTGCCAGCTTCTTGTAGGCAGAGCCATAGGAGGCCTGCCAGGACTGGATGGTCTGGATGGCCTGGGACCTCAGCTTCTTAGCTGCCTCTTTAGGAGGGGGGAGGAGCTGCTCGGTGTCTGTCTCCACCGTCAACTCCAAGAACACCTGAAGACGGACCGAGACACAATAAGATCATTCCTGTAAAGAGGCGCCAGCTGTGCTTCCACTACAGGAGATCCAGGAAACTTCTGGAAGGTGATGTGAAAAATACGATGGCTTCAGCCACTGTGTCTCCAAACAAGACCGGCCCATTCAGGACTTTGGTAAGGCTTCAGCGTATCGCGAACGTTTCGGCAGTGAGCAATGTCACTGATCAGCTCCAAAAGGTGTCCGTGGACATTAATAACATTAACTTTTATTCTGTCAAGATACGCTGTAATTAAATCCATTCGGAGGACCTGAGAACGACTGTGAGATGGAAAAAGTGGAGCGCAATAACAGGAGAAGCTGTATTTTTACGGCGCTCTGTGAGACAGCGAAGCACCGTCAGTTACAGCCTTGTGAGGAATTCCCTTCATATCTCTTGGTGAGGTCTGCCAATGTGATTTCCTACCGAGTTACAATCCATCAGCACGAGTTACGCACAGGTCCCACCCAGCAACTCTACCAAGTATTTCAGAGTGCATAACCCAGTTGAAATGGCCCGGGAAAATGGATACATGCACATGCAATGAAGGTCCAGAAAAATTATCCAGAAGTTCTGATAGTGGAAACGGGCCTGTAGTGTTTTAATCCCACTTAAACCAGCTCATCACTAACAGCTTGTCCAGTGTGGGTAGAACACCTACAGCTTAATCACAGACACAAGGTTCCAGTATCAGACCATACATTAGTCCACAGCTGCACCTGGTTCAGAAAGGTTCTGCACAGTGGCCTGATCAGAACCACATCAATGAAATGAGTGAGTCCAACAGATGAGTCCCAGTGACGGGTTTACCTGGAAGTTTTCCACCAGCAGCGTTCTGAAGTGATGCGATCTGGAAAAGAGCTCACTGATGACCTGGAAGGCTGACAGGCGGATCTCAGCGTGGTCCTGGTTCAGTTGGGACATCGCTGAGTGGTACACGTGGTCTATGCACTCATTAGACACTCTGACAGAGACCAGGGTTGAGTTAGAGCATAGGATCTGAACTCTTACTAAAGACTGATGAGACATGATGCAAAATGGTGATACCTGCAGATGTTTTTCAGCTTCTTCATTTTGTCCTGGTTGAGCTGCATCTGTCCAGATGTGGTAAGGTCTTCCACCAGCTCAGACAGCTGCTGTCTCTGAGAAGAATCCATCTCTGGCACACAGACAGGAACAGGTCCAGCTTAACTAGCAGCAGAGGTAAAACTGTGAAGCAACATGTTTACACTGTAATGCTGACATTGTAAACAACACTTTAACACTGTAAACAACACTTTAACAATGTAAACAACATGCAAACACTGTAAACAACATGTTAACATTGTAAACAAAATGCTAACACTGTAAACAACATGCTAACATTGTAAACAACACTCCAACACTGTAAACAACATGCAAACTCTGTAAACAACATGCTAACACTGTAAACAACATGCAAACACTGTAAACAACATGCTAACACTGTAAACAACATGCAAACACTGTAAACACCATGCAAACACTGTAAACAACATGTTAACATTGTAAACAAAATGCTAACACTGTAAACAACATGCTAACATTGTAAACAACACTCCAACACTGTAAACAACATGCAAACTCTGTAAACAACATGCTAACACTGTAAACAACATGCAAACACTGTAAACAACATGCTAACACTGTAAACAACATGCAAACACTGTAAACACCATGCAAACACTGTAAACAACATGTTAACATTGTAAACAAAATGCTAACACTGTAAACAACATGCTAACATTGTAAACAACACTCCAACACTGTAAACAACATGCAAACTCTGTAAACAACATGCTAACACTGTAAACAACATGCAAACACTGTAAACAACATGTTAACATTGTAAACAAAATGCTAACACTGTAAACAACATGCTAACATTGTAAACAACACTCCAACACTGTAAACAACATGCAAACTCTGTAAACAACATGCTAACACTGTAAACAACATGCAAACACTGTAAACAACATGTTAACATTGTAAACAAAATGCTAACACTGTAAACAACATGCTAACATTGTAAACAACATGTTAACACTGCAAACAACATGTTAACATTGTAAACAAAATGCTAACACTGTAAACAACATGTTAACATTGTAAACAAAATGCTAACACTGTAAACAACATGCAAACATTGTAAACAAAATGCTAACACTGCAAACAACATGCTAACATTGTAAACAACATGCTAACACTGCAAACAACATGTTAACATTGTAAACAAAATGCTAACACTGTAAACAACATGTTAACATTGTAAACAAAATGCTAACACTGTAAACAACATGCTAACATTGTAAACAACATGCTAACACTGCAAACAACATGTTAACATTGTAAAAAATACTCCAACACTAGACAGTATGCTAACATTGTAAACAACATGCTAGCCCTGTAAACAACATGCTAATAGAAAAGAGTCGCCGTTGAGTTTTTAAAGAAGCAATGTCCCCACATGAAGTAGCGACCCACCAAATTATATAACAGGAAGTAGGTTCCTGAACTTATTTATTTGCTGTTTGATTCCACATCTATAGAGCTTTCCCAAGTCACACTCTAAAACGCTTTACAACAGTCCTGTGGTGATGTGTGCTACATCATAGCCACAGCTGCCCCGAGGCACACTGACAGGCGAGGCAGCCACCGGTCCTACTTGCAGGCTAATAGACAGTAAAAGTGCCTTGCCCAAGGTCACAAAAACGAACCGAGAACCCACCAATTAAACCCTTCTAAGCACCGAGCCGCAGTCGCCCCGACGTCTGACATTGACACCGTACTTTATACAATAACAATGTAGACAGGCTGACATTGTTAGTCGCGGTAAAAGAGCAACGTTTCTAACGTTTACATCTCGCGTTTACCTTTTTTTCAACGATAACAAACAGGTCTCTTACCATAAGTTAGTTTTAGTTTGAATGTTAAACCAGAATCAAAGTTGTCGCCGTTTATCACAGGAAAAAAACCCGAACCAAGACAAGTGAATCAAAAAGATTATTTTTCTGTTTACATTTTTACTTCTTCGTCGGCTGCGTCTTCGTCGGTGGTTTTATGTCCGTTTACATCCAGTGTAAAAGCGTCTTTTCGCCACCTGCTGGACTGGAGTGTGGAGCAGGAACCGAGCAGCAGGGAAGCTGCGGTTCTGTTGTTGCCGTCAATCTAGTGGGTTAGGGTCTGTTGTGTTTTCTTCCTGTGGGATCTCTTGTTTTATGTTGTCCGCTCACCACATTTGGCTTGGAGCAGACTGGGTGTTTTTAAACCCAAACTCATGTTTTTACTGTCGAACCCAGTAGAACCTTGGAGTACATCAGTCTTTGGACCACATCACTGCAGACGCTGCCCTGCTCTTCCTGTCCCCTCCTTCCCTCATTAGCCTAAACTCCTCCACCCGAGGTCGGAACTCTGCCTCACTCCGGAGCTGGAAAGCCATCCTCTTGATGTAGAACCACGGTTCCAGATCAGGAGGTGCTGAAGCTCAGCTGCTTCACACTCGGTTGTGAAGAGCTGAAGGCCACAGTTTGATGGAGTTTTCAATCAAACCAGATAAAAAATACATTTATTTTATTATTACAGCTTTGTAGAACATCTGAGCAGAGCACAATAAGACCAAAGTCAACAATGGCTGCTGGAGCGCGTCCTTTATACCAGTTAGTTGTGAATTGGGAAAAAGTGGATCGGGAGTCCGTCTCAATGGAGATCATGAAGGGATGGACGGCTGGGCTGGTGTAGCGATGAGGACGCTAATCTGGTCTGATGAGATGAAGCTGAGCTGGAGGTCTACTGGTCCAGGGCTCACCTATGGTCCTGAGACCTGGATTAGGACTAACGAAAGAGTAACACAGTAGTACTAGTACCACTGTTACAGATGTAGGCCAGTATCATAGTAGTAACACTGTAGTACTAGTACCACTGTTACAGATGTAGACCAGTATCATAGTATTACAAGTACCACTGTTACAGATGTAGACCAGTCTCATAGTATTACAAGTACCACTGTTACAGATGTAGACCAGTATCATAGTAGTACACAGTAGTACTAGTACCACCTGTGTTACATATGTAAGTACTAGTATTGTTGTACACAGTGGTGAAACACAGACAGCAGAATCAGTGGTTCTTCTGTTGCAGAAAGCTGGATGTCCACAGAGGACAGCTGATGGACATGGGTACAGCAGATGTTCATGAAGAGTTGTCCAGTAACGTGGGACGAGGTCATACCATCTGTGGTCTGCTGCATTGGTCTGACCAGCTCACATCTTCAGCATCACACCATCTGATCACAGGAGCAGCAGAGGACACTTCATCACAGGGTGACAAAGTTCCTGTTCCAGCAGGAGGTCAGAACCAGACTGGTACAGGTGAGACATCAGCTCCAGGGATCACTCTATCATCTCTACGTGTCCTCCTCTGTCCAAAGTCTGCTCAGAAAACGTCTGCGGGTTTCATCTGGACCTGCAGTGAGTCGATCAGTTCCAGGATCTCTGTAAAGTAGCTGTTGTCCTCTCCAAGAGCCACTTTGGACTGGATCACTTCTGCATACTGGAGCTTGAGGGTCTGCAGTGAGCCCAGCAGGGAGCCATCTGAGCGGTACTGGTCCAAACACAGAGGAGCCATCACCAGTAAAGCCTGCAGAGCCTGCAAATGGACACATCAGGACATGTTTATGTAGGACACCATGAAGGACTCTGCAGGGTCTTCTGTACTACACTACTGACCTTCTCCCTGTGGTCGTGCTCCTCAGACTGCAGCAGCTCTGGAACCAGGCGACACCAACCATTGTCCAACATGTCCCCCTGTAGAGACAGCTGAGAATACTGATGCA